ATCTAAAATATCCTTAGTCGAATATTTTGACAATAAGGACATCATAATATATCAAGACTAATACGTAAGAGATGATATAGCTGCCTCTCATATGCTATAGATAAAGTGTTATCTAAATCTATACGTAGACAAACATATTGGATATATTGCTGGATTGACCCGCTATGAGAATAATATATGGGTTTAAGTTAAAGTGTTAATATTATTTTCATGTGACCATTAATATAACTATCCTTCGACTTGAAGTCATTACATTCTTTAGTAAGTTGAGTTGTATACTTTGAGTCATGGTTTATGCCATCTGAAATATTGGTGGATGTACAATTATGTTTTGGGTATGCAATGAAACTTAAGCGAAGATGTAAATGATGTAGATAGAATTTATCCCTTCTTTAATGAAATATAATATCTTAGGGCCCACTAATTGATGTGACTTGGGAAGTGCATGGTCATGCCCAAATAAATATGTTATTTGAATCTCACAAGTCGATCAAATAATCAATAAACCATCGATTTAACTCTGATGACAAGGTGACACACTCCATACCTTGTGTTAAATCAAGATATTAGTGATAAAGGGATAAGAGTTATACAAATACGATGTATCGTTGAAGGAATTGTTCCAAGAGCTTTAATCTATAATTTGGGGTGATAATGTGTTGCTAGATACCGCTTATCACTTGTAGTATTCTATAATCTATACTATGACCAATTTTATAGATGCCTAGAGTAGGGTCACACACATAGAACATATGAAAGTGTAGAAGATTTAAGTGGAGTAAAGTTGCACTTTATTTATATATCGTGTATATTATATTGTATGATAATATGATTAAATACACAAATGTATCTATATAAGTAAATATTTATGTTTGGTTATTTTAATTATGTGATAATTAAGTTCATCAAATATAATTTTATATATATATATATATATATACGGTCAAAGCACAGGCTTTAAAGACTGCCATTGAAGCTGCTTGCATGCTTCTAACGATTGATGATATTATAAGCGGTATCAAGAAAAAGCAAGCCCCAGGTGCAAGTCTGGCTCCATCAAAGCCAACGGTCGAGGGAGAAGGTGATGCTGACAACGACCAGTTGATTCCCGAGTGATGATGTCACATGGATAGGTTTGTTCATGCATCGGGATGCAATTTTCAATTTAATCAGCCCCCCTGGCCTTGGGTTTCTCTACTTTTACTGTGTCTGTAAGAACTAGGAAATTCTGTTAAATGCTGAGAATGGGAGCCGGACATACCCCTCCCATATTCCCTGAGCTTTGAATGATCTTTTTGGGGTTTGTGTGAATTCATGTTGTTCTTCTAAGTGTGATTTGTATTTATTTAATGATAAAGAACATGATATTCCGTATATATATATATATATATATATATATATATATATATATATATATATATATATATATATATATATATAACTTCCAGGATCATGGATATCACCTTTTTTCTTTGAGCTAGTTATGTTTTGGGCTTTTCTCTTTGGTTTTTCTTCTCTTGGATTTTCCTCTTCATCTTTTTTTCGGCCACTTTGTTGGGGGCCAAGGCCACCCCCACCTTGTACCTTTCTTTTAATAAATTTCCTTTATAAAAAAAAAAAAAAAAATATATATATATATATATATATATATATATATGGGGAAGTCTAATTTGACACCAATACATTTTACACCACTAACTTACACCAATACATCTCATCCCTCCATCATACTCACTTTAATCCAAACCACCATTTAGAAATTACTTATTTCGTAACCTAATTAAGCCCATTTATAGAAATCTGATTTCTTCTGTCTCCTTTCTTCCTCGCCTTCTCATCCCTCGCCCAAACTTACCTTCATCACAGTCCAATCTTCCTCTCTCACAATCGTCTTCTTTGAAGTGGTCCGCTTGATAAGAAGATGGGAGACACACAAATGGTAGAACAAGTCATAGAAGAGAGGCAACTGATTGAGCAGGCGCAAATTTTTGAGGTTGCAATTGAGGATGAACACATTCCAATTACTTTTGAAAGGTAAAAGTTACAATTTTTAATTTTATAATATGACTCCACCAATCCATATTATTGGGCATTGCATTTTGAATAGGTTTTTTTTAAATTTTTTGAACCCTACCTTTTGTTTTAGACTTTATGTGTATATATTTTGTAGCACTTTATTATCATATTAATTATATCCAGAATCATATACTTTTTTTATGGCGTCATTATTGGTTACGTGGACAGAAATTATTTTGTGTGCATTTCTATAGTATGGAAGAAAATGGCTACTCATCTCCCGTTCTCATCCCCGAGCCATATGTTGGTCAGGAATGGGAGAATGAGGCACAAGCAAGACAATATTATATTGAGTATGCCAAAATGATAGGATTTGGAATAAGGACACGAACGAGTCGTCTCGGAGTTGATTTTCGGTTGGTGTGTAATAGGGCATGAGTTTTTCCTCACACAAATCATCTTGATAGTGAAACAGAGTATGACAAGACTACCTCAACACTACGTTTTAATTGCCCTGTGTTTATTAGTGTGGGTCAACGCAAAAAAAGCAATGGTAGATGGGTGGTTCCCAGCTTGCAAAATACTCACAATCGCCCTTGTCTTAGTCCTGTTAGCAAGCCATTCTTGCATTCTAATAAAGAAATAATAGAAACTGCACAATTCTTTACGGAGAGATTTCACAAAGTGGGTGTCCCTATTTGTAAAGTAGCACAGGTGTTGCAGGAAGAAGGTAATTTCGACAAAAAAGATTATTACAATTACATGAACAAGTTACAAGCTCAGCTTATTGATGATGGCGATGCACAGGCCGTTTTGACTTATTGCCAGAAAAAGAAGAAAGAGGATCCTGAATTCTTTTATTCAATGACAATGGATGAAAGTGGTAGAATGTAGAACTTTTTTTGGGTTGATTCATATTCTAGAATATATTATCAAGTCTCATATCGCACTAACAAGTATAAGATGCCATTTGCTCCTTTTGTGGGGGTAAATCATCATATGCAGAGTACACTGTTTGGATGTGCACTTATGCAAGATGAGACTAAGGAGTCATTTATGTGGCTTTTTAACACTTTTTTGGAAGCAATGAATGGCAAATTTCCGATATCAATTATTACCGACCAAGACCAAAGAATGGGTGATGCCCTATTACAAGTGATGCCAAAAGTTTGTCATAGGCTCTGTTATTGGCACATTAAAAAGAAGTTCTCTGAGATGCTAGCCCCCTTGTATCTAAAAGGGTCTGTGTTCAGATGGAGAAAGCACCAGACACAAGGCACATATATCGAGAAGTTGTCTTTGACCATGACTTACAAAACATCTCTTGTAGTTGTCAAGAGTTCGAGTTCAAGGGGATTTTGTGTCGCCATGCATTAATGGTGTTAGTGCATAAAGGTCTTGATAAGATTCCTGCAGAGAACATACTGACAAGGTGGACAAAGAATGCTAATCGCCTACTTGACTGTGTTGTATTTAGGTACCCTAGCGGCAATCAAATACCTATGTAACTCTACACTTTATCATGAATGAAAGGCCTTGAAGTATGTTTTATATCTCGTGTAACATAACATAGCTTCAGTCCATAGACGATAGCGCTTCAGTAACATATATGAGGACTACGATGTTCTGATTATGAGACTGTTACTTCTTGACGAAGGCTATATCTAGAATATCCCTAGTCGCACTTTATGATAATACGGACGTCATAACGTATCAAGACTAGTACGTACGAGATGAGATAGTTGCGTCTCATAGACTATAGGTATTGTGATATCTTAATCTGTACGTAGGTGCATATTATATCGATAATATGTGACTGGATTGACCCATCTTGAGAATACTGCATGGATGTACAGTAATGTGTTTATCAGTATTCTCAAATCGACCTTGCTATAACTATGCTTAGACTTGAAGTTATTACATTCTCTGATATGTGGGGCCGTATGCTTTGATTCATAACTAATACTATCTAAAATACTGGTAGACGTACAGTTATGCGTTGGGTATGCCGCTAAGCATATTTAGAGATGTGAATGATAGATACAGGATCTGTCCCTTCTACTGTATAGAAGTATAAACAGTTACCCGGGTGACTTATCATCCTGAACCCTTTCACGTACCGGTACGGGTCTATACAGCGATAGATCTCTGACTATTTATAGACTAGGGATGGTCAGATGAACTCTAAGTCATTGTCGACTAAATTGATATGTTCCTATGTGTAGGGTACGGAACACTTAAATCATGACATTTAGGACAGAAGGATAATAGTTATAAAACGTCTTGTGTCGTAGAAGGTATTGATGAGATGAACGTCTTTTTCATAATCTGGGGGTAATAATGTGTTGCTAGATACCGCTTATTATCTATGGTATTAATTTTATTAATATCATTGCCAGTGTTGTAGATACCTAAAGGGTCACACACTTAGGACTTGTAAGGGAGTAGTATACTACACTAGTGGGAGTAATATTAAATATATAGTTGTAATAATTTTATATATATATATATATATATATATATATATATATATATATATATATATATATATTTCGAAAATACATATGTAATTTAAAATTATATTTTGTTTGTGTCATTTTAATTATATGATAATTATATTTTGACAAAACAAATTTTATTATATATATATATATATATATATATATATATATATATATATATATATATATATATATGAAGGGCCGAAATTATATATATATATTATTTTATTTTTCATCATTTTAATTATATGATAATTATTGATGTCAAAAATAAAATATGATATATTTCAAATATGGAATGACCGAAATTTCAAGAGGAAAAATCCAAGACCATTTTGATTTTATACATAAAGTATTTTTAATGTCAAATTGATATATTTGATTATTATTTGATGTAGGGATTCTATTTTGTTTGGTAGCTAAGATATTAAACATTTACACATGGTGTTAAGACATATACATGGACTTATGCTTAACATTAATTTCCTAGCAATTTCCTAAATATACTTTATTATAAAATGAGGTCTTGATTTTGAAAAAATACAACACAATTTTCGGCCATCCCATTTTAGAGAGAAGAAAATTTTATTTTGTGTTCAAAGTTATTTTTCTAATGTGTTAGAAATAAACACAAAATATTATAAAGAAATATTTATAAGATAAATATTTTTACTATATATTTATTACTCCCAAAGTAGTATTATTATAGTTTTTACTATCCTAAATTAAACTTGCTAGCACAAGTTTAATCTAGGACTCCGGAGCAAGTTCGTGTGGATATGTTGGAGGCTTCATACGTTTGGCGCTACGTTCATCTCCTCAAAACCATCCCCGACTGTTTCTCCCTTCTCCGTTTTCACCGTTAAGGTAAATTTCTTACTATAGCTAGTAATTTACGTAAGTTGTTCTTGGGTGGAATCAAGTTTTGGATGCTAAATTTTTTGTTTTCCGCTGCGTCATCCAAGCCTTGTTTCCCAACAGACTGCACTCTTGTCCCATCGAATGTAGGTGACGCGACGATGTTACGACTTCATCACTTTAATCGTGCAAGTAGAATGTTACAAGATACAGTGAAATTATCTCACGAGGTGTATGTGTTGGTCATTGCTGCGTTTAAGGATCTTTATCTTCAGGCATCAAAAGTTGCTTATGGAGAAGAGGCAACAAATGAGGATATTTCAAATCCAATTGAAATTGAGCAAGGTATTAAAACTAGTATAAGTGGTTGCGTATATTGTTATAAAACTTGTTCCTTTGGTCTTTTATTATGTTTTTTTCACTTTGCAGGTTATATTGGGGATCCTTGCGTAGCCAAAATGAAAGGTCGTTCAAGAGTTGGAAGTACGGGTTCGAATAACGGTCGCTACAAAGGTGGCTTTGAGCGAGCGATGGAAAAGGTTCGAAGTTGTCGTGGGTGCGGGGAGATAGGACACGACAAAAGAAATTGTGCGACAAAATCCTCCAAAAAATTATAAAGGGTTCAATTTGACTTTAGTTTTTGAAGTATGTAGCCCTGCTTTAAGCGTGGTCTCAACTCTTAGAACTAAAATTGCAGCAGTAACATTGTCTTTCAGCACTTGTTTTGGAACTGAAATTGTAGCAGTAACATACTGCCTTTAGTGTATTCTTAAGTTTTCTATGGTATATTTTTTGTTGACATTTTGAGTTCATAATGCACCTTATTCATAACTTTTTTTAAAATCTGTTATTGTTTAGAATGTGCTGCCAAAATATTAACAAACCATAGTAGTGTATTTATGCTACAAATGAATATTATTTAGTCCTAATCATTTCAAAACTTTAAAAAACATAAAGAGGCCTAAAGTGGGCATGACTTTAAAAAACATAAAGCTTCTTTGCAAAACATCCCTACTAAGCAGGAGACATCAAAGAAAAATGAAGTCCAATTTCTGCTATACCATATGCTTGAGAAAATGACCAATTACAGTATACACATAAAGGTAGTTGATACCATTCATTAGAAACAAAGTTCTACTACTGTGAGTTCATATCCAAAAAAGAAGAAACTACATTTGTGAAAATTTATTGATTTGACTTGTAGCCTATACGGGATTTGAACCCATATCTTTTGTGAAAAACTCACAAATGCTCTACCAATTGAGCTAATAGACTTCAAACTTCAGTTTAAGCTACTTCAAACTCAAAAGTTTGGGTAATGAACAAAAACTTCAGAGAGATTGGACCAAACAATTAACACCATTTTAAAGATGGGTATATTAGAGCATGAACAATGGCAAGGAAAAAAAATAATGCCACACGCTGACATGACATAAATCAACCAATAAAAAATGGTCCAGTCAGAGAGTGGCAAGTGAGTGGAGTGGCGCACCCTACAGATTACTTTTATCACTTTTTAAAATTTTTGTAATGTATTTTAATTATTAAAAATAATTTTTGCTATTTCTCTCATTAAAAAAATACTTCTACTTTCTTACAAAAAAGAGTTGTTTTTTTATAAAAAAAAATAAAAAAAAAGAAAAAAAAAAAAAAGAGGCGTGGGAATGGATGGAATGCCTTGCAATTGACTTGCTCTGGGGGAATGGTCTTTTTCTCCATGCTAAGCATGGCAAAAAAAATTTGGGAGCTGATGTGGCAAGCGTGGCAGGCATTTGCCTCCCCCGCTGCCATTGCTCTTATTGCTAGTCCAAAATTAAAATTGATCAACAATGGATCAGGAATATACGATGTTCAAAATAACTTCTCCAAGAGTACAGTGAATTTTGGAATTGTGAAACAAAACTAGGAATAATAAAAAATAATTAAATGGGTGATTTACGCTTCTCCGTGAGGATTCAGCCTATAGATTGCGTCTGGCCTGATGAGCCGATTAAGCATGTGGCCAAGTCCCGGTTCAAGCGGCTTTTTGAGAGGCAGTTTCCAGGCCTTCTGAGGAATTTGTCTGCAGAGAAACCTTCTGAGGAGCCGAATTGCAGTAAAGATGTTTCTGATGATTGCGAACCTAGCTCTGTTTGCTTGGCTAAGATGGTCCAGAGTTTCATTGAGGAGGGTGAGGAGAAGCATCGATGCAGCCGGAATCTATGATATGGCTTCAACAGATGCTGTACAGACTCAGAGGAAGAAACCTCTGACTCCTGCAATTGCTTCGGCGAAAGCAGCAATAACTCCTCTGGAGATGCATGTGAAATTCTGAAGGTAATCATCACGACTTTGGTTTTTCTGCAATTTTGTATATGTTTAGAGCCCCCGAGTATGTTCTTAATTTCTGCTGTAGTCTTACTTTCATTGGGTTGTTGAAGCAGAGTTTGGTTCCGTGTGCCATCCTCTCAGAGAGGAACCTATTGGCAGACACCACTAAGCTAAGATCATTGAGAAGAACAAGATGAGCAAGCGCAAGGATAGTGTATGCCGAAAGACCATAGTGGAAAGCCTTGTAGCTCTGGGATATGATGCTTCGATCTGCCAATCTCGCTGGGAGAAATCTCCACAAGTCTCTGCTGGTAAGTTATATTCTCCTCCATCAATGAATTAGATTTCTTGTGAGGTGCCCATTCATGCTTATATATACATATATAGATGATCTGCAGATAACTTTGTTTATTAATGCGTTTAGATGCGAAGATATAAATGATATGATTTTATTAATTATATACAGGTGATTATGAATACATTGATGTTATATTTGAAGGAGACCGGTTGATAATAGACATCGAGTTCAGATCAGAGTTTGAAATAGCCAGGTCCACTAAANATCGATGCCACATCTGAAAAGGAAGAACGTCCTTCGAACCTCAAAGAGGGGAATCTATGTAAAGCCACTGACTTGATGATAGTGGGAGTGCCTAAGCCATGTGGTAACAACGGACCTGAGCTGATATTTGGAGAGGAAACTTCTTCCATTCCGAATAACACCTGCAGCAGTGTTAATGTGTTTATGAAGTCCAACTGTGTTGGCGAAGAAGATAAACAACAGATGGAAATTGCTGAGCAACCTGAGGCTAAAGCTAACAGTTTACATGTGGGAGTGAAGAAAATGACCGGTTTATCTTCTTTGATCGATGAGAAGCCTTGAGGTTATTTTACCTTCCCCTGAGCTTTTCCTTATGTTTTGTGATACTAATAAAAACTTTTGTTCTTGTGTTTATTCTACCCCTTGGTTATGGCATCTGGGGCTGTGACAATACAATCTTCGAGTCGGTCGTTGGCCCAAGTATGTCTCCATTGAGTAAAGAATGCCCTTCGCCTTTTAATGTAAGGGCACTAAGGACTAAGTGCTGACGAGCAAATATGCGCAATACAACCAGTAGTTGTAGAGAACAATATATATAGTGTAACTCATATTTTGATGATCTCCTCAATAAATATTTACCTTAATAAGGCTCCTTTTTTTGCTTTAACTAATGCTGTTATCGCCCTACTGTACTGATTCTGTTTGTACCTTCCAGTGCTGTATTTGTTATAAATATAGGGCAGTGTTTATGATCAATAATTTCTTATGTGTCCCACAATATTTCTTATTGGTCCTCGCAATAGCCAATAAAAGCTAATGCAATGGGCAATGGGTTTAGGTGTTAGCATAAAATCAAAGTTAGCTGGCAAAAGAGCTTATAAAGGTGTGCAATTTGCCACTTGCCGCAGTTACAAGATTGGAGTGAAATGACACTGTTTTGAACGAGAGAAATTAAAATGAGCTTTCATTTCATGCTTGGGTATTTGATAGGGGTGACATGAGACATCTCTTTAGGTCATTCAATTATTCGATGCTCTTTAGGCTAATTTAAAACCACTCCCTCTCTCCTACCAAAACACCTCATATTTCAAGAGAGTAAATATCAAGCAAGCCTTTCCATGAACCTTCTCTTATAAACAATACTCCTTCGTCACATTTTAAATTGCATGTTTTCTTTTTTTGTCCGTACTAAAATAAGTTGCACGTTTTTTATTATAGTAAAATTTTAAGGATAAAATACCTAAATCACCTCTAAATAAGTCACTCTTCTCCACCTTATTTTCTCATTCATTGTCACCCCCTAAAAAAGTAAGGGCATTTTTGGAAAGTCAATACTATTTTTTCACTTACTTAAATATGTTCCAAATTCAAAACAGACAATATAAAATGTGATGGGACGGAGGGAGTAAAAAATTACTCCAAATATGGATGAGTTTCTAGTTGTGGTTCATCACAAGGTTAGTGGTGATCCCATGAAAACCAAGTTGTTAGGTGAGTCGAGAGAATCTATCACACACAAAGGCGAGTTGCTATGGTGCCCTCGTTGACTAGTATACAATTATTAATTTATAAAAAAACATGTAAGAAGATGGCTCGAATGCCCTTTCACCGGAGGGTTGAAAGACGATATAATCTTAAATCTAGAATAAAAAATGTTTAGGTGACTACAAGAGCTATCCTAAGAGTGAGAAAAACACACAAATGTCCTTAAAGTTTCAAGCATCCATCTAGGCATTATAAATTGATTAATAAATAGTCCTTCGTCGCACAATATGTAACGTACCAAAAGAGAATCTACTTTCTCTTTTTTGACTTTGTAGAAGTCTTCTCAAAGGAACTATCTTCTTCTTCGTCTTCAGAAGAAATGCCTTCCGGCTCATCAGGGACATCATTTGGAACATTATGCCTTGTGATGTAATCCTTTAATATACTCATGCTCTGTTCTTTCATTGAGACCAGTTGCGTAGATACATTTCCATTGTTCACCACAACAGAATGTGCTTCTGATCCAAGACGAAGGGTCGCTTTAACTTGTGGACAAAAAACTTCTTGCATTTGAGCATCTTCCATGTGGGTCAGAAAATACCTAAACCATTCAAGTTGTTAGCCTTTCATGCCCAAAAAATGCCACAACTCATTTTTCTTTGTCCTATAGTTTTATGACATGGACTCAAATATTTTACTTTAAGGGCATTTCAACAAAGAATGTCTTTAGGCAAATTCAAAACAATTAATTTATTACTTAGGTGTCCGGGCTTTGGTCGACTACTCCTAGGACCTATGAGCCACACTCTCAGGCTCAATCAGCATGCAATGTGAAGTGCAGCATAAATCCATACACTGGAATAGTGGAATTTATACAGAAAAGCTTTTACAATTTCTGTGTAGAGCTCCCATGCCAAAGTAATGAAAAAAATATATTTCTTAGCGTAAAAGAATGGTAAACATCGCCAATTCATAAAATGTTGAATCATTATTTTCATTAGAATAAAGAGTACTTTCACATTGCTGACAGAAACAATAGCTGGATTTAACGAAGCTAAGAACAGAATTACCCAAAGTCCCAAACAGGTTGCGTGCACACTTAACAGTGAAATACATATACATGTTGATTCCATTGAATCCCCTTTACTCTAGCTTTGGCCTTTTCTCTTCTCTTATTGTTCAATGGTTCAACCCCTACTAAGGCTACTATATATCTACTCACTCGTAAACAATCTCACTTCTTACCATCAGGTTTTACCATACTAGATGAGTCCCCTATATTCTATATTTTCATCAAAGCTTCAGTAAACGCATGTTTGCTTTTCTAAACTTAAACACAAGATTGCTTTTCTAAACTTACACATGGCTGTAAATATAACCTGCAACGTGTAATCCCCTTGCACTTAATGTTTGCCTACAACGTCTACAGCCCTTGATGTCTTAACCCCCTTCCATTCAAGTTAACGTTTCTCTAAATTAAAGAGCTTAACACGATCAATAGCATTGATATATATATACACACACACACACACACAGAGAGAGAGAGAGAGAGAGAAACCATTGTCTGCAAATTACTATCAAATGAAAGCATAAACTAGATACAATCATAACCATTTTTTTTGGTGAGTCCTTACCGATGGGAAGATTTGATTACTTGTACAGATTTTCTCTTAGCTTGGATGTTATAGGTAGGGTCCGCGCACACCCACTCACCCCCACTATGTAGCACTGAAACGGCGACGGGGACGGAGACGATATGAAACGGAGACGCCGAAATGGCTATTTTTAAAAAATGGAGAGACAATGCTGAGGAGACGCCGAATTTATATATAAACAAGTATATTTATATATAACTAAATATATCTATATATAAATAAATATATTTATTGGACAACATCTGTGGGACTTCACTGACTTGTTTTGTTGGTTGTTAAAATTGAAACAATCTTTTCCCAAAGATAAGAGAAATACTTTCAAAAATATTATCTTTGAGTAACAATTTTCAGAAGTTGCAAACAAGAGAGAAAACTTAATAGGAAATACTGCTATTTATTTGGGAAAGGATCTTTTGAGTTTTGACATTGATTACCAATGACATAATATAACCCTTCTGCCGCCACCCCCACCGTAGGTGTCCTGGGTCATATTATTACGTTGATAATTGTTAAAGAGTATCTCACATCGGAAAAGTGTGAGAAAAATAATGGGTATATAAGCTCTTGAGTTGAACTAAGTAATCGATTGGATTCAATCTTTTAATGTGGTTCAGCCCAAGTGTCTTATAGCTAGTCCAGTTATCTCTACCCAATTCTAAATCCTATCAATAATCAATACCAAAAGAACCGTGGTGTACGAAGTATTTACTAATTGGAGAATTTTCCAATTTTTGGAAACATTAATTTGGAGAACAAGATGGATCTACATATATCCTTCTTATTGTTTGCTTGTGGTTTAAGCTGCTTAAAATAAACCAAGTTTTTATTGTCCGTATATGTAGTTTCAGCTGCTTAAAATACGCAATGCGCAAAAATTTGATGTTGCTTGCCAAACACTAAGATTGTAATAACTGCTTAAAATAGGCCGAATAAATAAATAATACGGAGTANCTCTTTACAACAATACAACAGTTCAAAGATAGATGGATCATCACCAAAATGACCTATTGAATAGAATGAATATGTAGTTCCCATGGCAGACCCAGGAATTTTGACCCATCGGGTCCCGTGTCTAACTATATGAGATTGCAGGATGAGGCGAATAAGCACTTAAATCCAAGTTATCTAAACATATGGAGTATTAGATTGCAAGGTGAGGCAAAGAATTATATAAATATATGCTAGAAGGATCCTCAAATGTAAAACTAAACTTCAATTTTCACACCCTATGCCAACATGCTATAGATTTTGTGATATACCTACAATTCAATTATTCAAAGGCATATTTTAATCCAATCAACAACCAATCAAGCACAATTAATATAGGAAATTAGGAATCAAAATTTAATTTTGTTCATATACACTGTGTATGGTTAATTTTTTTTCTTTCCGCTTTTGTCTTATTTTCCTCTCTAATCTAACCAAACAGGAAAATTTGTTATCCATCTCATTTTGTTTTCTTTTCCCTTTCAAATTCCTTGGACCAAGCATAGTGTTTAGGGTTGTGAGGGGCAAATTTCCTCCTAATTATTTACTTTTATCAATCACTTCCGTTCTAGTAAAATTAAACAAATCTAAGCACAATTAAGAGTTTAGTAATTAAATTAATGAAAAATAACTAAATTTTTATAGTAAAAACAGAACTAATCACGACTTTGAAGTTAAAAAAATCCACAAATTACAAATGCACCCATGCAACACAAATCATAATTAATAAGTACGCAGTATCTAACATAATTAAACAAATACTCCGTACGAAGTAGAGAGATGCTGTTTCCCAGAGGTCAAATCACATACTATTATAAACCATACGTAGTAATTGATCATTTTAAAAAAATAAATAAAAAACTAATTGCGGAGACATGGGGTATTTAGGGTTTTAAGAAAACAAAATACCTGGAGGCGAAGGACCAGAGGAGCGAGGCAGACAGCTGAGGCGGAGCACTGTGTGCTGCTGGCTATGGCGGAGGTGCGGGCGGAAGGTTGCGGTCCAGACTTCTCTGACCCTTTTATTCGTTCTAGCTTTGGTTAGGGAATTAGGGATAATAACGACGCCGTTTTTACGATGATCTCATTAACCAAAAGACAACTCCATTGAAAAGTCAAAAGACGGTCTTTGATAGCTTCTCGTACATTTGTGTACATAGCAATGCTAGGGGTACACCAAAGGTGTACCCATTTGTACCTCAACCCTTTCCCCACCACTCATTTTTACCCCATTTTTATTTATTTAATTTTTTTTTAATTTTTTGCCTATTTTTGTGATAATGGAGGAGGTGGGGGACAAATGGGGTACACCTTTTGGTGTACCCCTAGCATTTTTCTTGTGTATAACTAGATTCTAACCCGTGTGATGCACGGTGAGAATTTTATTTTGTAAAAAATGATATGACCCATAAAAACAATGTTGTATTACAAATATGACAATCCGTAAACTACCCAATGTATACTAAAATTTGTTATAATGTACGATATATACCAATAAATATTGAACAATATTAGTTAAATACATATATAATCATAAATTCTAGAAAGCTTCTTTATACACAACATTCATCGTATGATCCAAATGATTATTTTGTTCTTTGCAACTCAAAATCTTCAATCCTTTTCAATTTGTGACACGTGAAAAAGCCACATAAAGTTGATCATGAGTAAAGACTAGTTTTTTAAGAAGTACACATGATGGATACCCTGGAATGGGGGTATTCGGCCCAATAGGAATAGCGGCCTAACCTAGTTAGAATCATGCCCGCTCAGCTAGGCGGAATTGAAGAAATTGAAGTCTCAAGGGGGTCTGCCGCATCGAGACTTATCCGCGCTCGGCCCCGGGTGAAACTCATTGTCGGAAGTCTCCAAGAAGCAGAACACGTATACTCGGCCTAGGCCTGGGTTGCTACTGGGTCAGGACCACGGAGTATGGAAGCTGCCTGACTAGTCAAATCAAGGGACCCACGATTGGACCTCTACCACGCCACCGTCATATTAGTTGCAGCCACCATACTTGTAACCTATCTTGTATAGCTACCCTAGGGATAATGATGTGGTTGGCGCTGCCGATTAAACGGCCGGATCTTAGTGGGCCCGATCTGTTTGACTTTGGACCAACGGTCGGGAGCCCCATTTGTAAACTTGTATATAAGCCCCTTTTGAAGAAGGGGAAAGACACGTTCTCTTACATGAGCATTCTTGACTCTAATTCGATACTCTTTCGCCTAGTCTCTTAGGTCCTGGGTTCCATAACCCAACAAAGTGAAAACCCAAAATTTACAAATATCTTCAAAGCCACAAAAGATTTGTCAAGTAAAGAGTCAAGTGAGTCAAGTGATATGATCGACTAGGGACTCAAACTCATCAAACGAGTCAAGTGATGAAGACTATGAAGAGAAGGCTATGAGTAGATTTACTCAAATGGAAGAAGTATATGAAGAAGAAAGAAACTTATTTCAAACCGAAGAAAGAATACCATAAGCCAAGGTAATTTTTTCATACTTAATAGGATAAGACTTTTTCTTTTTCTAGATGTTTTTAAAATTAAAAATTTATCTCATATATGCTCCAAATTCTTTTAGCCTTGGTTTGCATGGTTAAATAAATTTTTAAAATTCATTTTTAATCATGTCTTTAAAATTAATCCCCAAAAATTCCTTAAAAATAAG